GATAGCTTATGGACATAGATGGCCCCTGTCTGGAAGCTGAAGTCTGCTTACACTGCACCTGCTCACATGCTCACCTGCTCTTAAACACAGAAGCAGCCATGCTTGTGGCAATTGCACCACACGTCTCTTCAAAATGTTTCACTATCTTTGAAATGAGCACTGCAATGATTGCTAATGTGCTGTTGTCTTTTTTAGATGAAATCTATAAATGTCAAGGAAATTTCTAAGATTTTTTTTGTCTAAATATTTAAAACGTCATAGGTTCAATTTTAATAGCAAATTAAATATTAATATCAATGTTAAAGCATGAATTTGGAAAAAAACAAGAATTCATATGTTAATTTTTTATCTTAATGAAATGAAATTAAATAAAAAACAAATTTTAAAATCATATTTGCCTCAAGCATGAGTTGATTGTAAAAGAACTAAGATTTATTAAATGACTTGAGTGAACTTGAAAGTGTAGTCTCCCAAACCTTTTTTTTTTTTTCTGGACAGACCTTGTAATGCTAAGTAACTTCCTCTCTACAGATCTAACAGGAAACAAGCTTGAGGATTCCAAATCTGTGTTCGTCAGCTGCAGCCCTACTGTACGCAGATCATTGATGTGGACCCACTGTACTCTTCCTCATGAGATGCAGCAAAAAGAGGAATCCACACAAATGCATAGACATCTCTTACTTCAGTGTTTCCTATCTTCTGCAGGACACATGGAAGACTTACAAGGTAATTTCATGGCTTTTAGGGATGAAAGTGTCACATCCAAAACCAAAGGAGAAAAGGCAGTGTCCACTTGAGAATTTTTAGGAAGATGAATGATGTGTTTGTAATGTTCGGGTACAAAGAAAATGCCTGGCATGTATTTGCTTTTCCTTATGAACTGCCAAATAAGGGGATATTTAAAACCATGTCAGAAGAAGAATGCTTATTCTAGGGATCCCATGGTACTCATTCATTTAGCAGAGCTTTGCAGCTCTTAGAATACATTTACAGAACTGTAATATTGAAGCACAGCACACCACAAGACAGGGCTCTCCTTGCTTGATTTCTATAGCATGTTCTTAATACAGTTATATAAGAATGTACAATCATTTATATATTTTTAAATTTTGATCATCATTATCTCAGCACATGGTTTGTTCTCTATTAGGGTTCATCAGTTGCCTGATGTGTCTGGATTCTTTCTCTATATTTCAGCAGACTTTATATAAGCTCTGGGATTCCTTTGTTTCTGCAAGTTGTGTGCTGATCGTTCTGAGATGAGTACTTCCACAGGTAACAGTTCTTGGACAAAGTTCTCTGCATCTTTTACTGTCTGGAACTTTATAGGAACAGGAATAGCTTCATCTCCTTTCTCAGTACAACTATAGAGAGTGAAAAACACACATTTCCTATCCTCTCTTGTAGCTTAGTGAGGCCATGCTGACCTAGGTATGGTTGGCATACTGTACTGAAAAACCCAGTGTGGGTAATAACAGCTTGAAGGTAATCGAGTGGGAGAGCTCCTCTGGTTAGCTGCCTCATCCATCCTCAGTTCTGGGTGATTACAGAACTTCACACCTCCCCTTTGCCAGCAAAGCTTCCAGTATGTGGCCCCCTTCTGCCACCAGGCATTAGCTTCTGGTGCAGTTCTCAGATCTTTGGCAAACTGATTTCCCAGTATCAATTTCAGAGTTTACTGTGCTCTGGTGGAAATACAGATTTTCCCTGAGTCTTTGCCTCAGTAACAACACAGGCTAAATGGCATTTATTTATTCAAAGCCCACATCCAATTTACTTTTTCCCAAGGTCCTTGAGGCATTGCTAGACATGTCACAAACATTTCCTGGCTCTGACAACAATTAACAAATACACACATGCACATATGACTGTTGGTCTTTTCAATTAGATTAAAAGGAAAACTAAACAGCTCCAAAAATCTGGAACAAATCAATAGTTTCAATCACATATTCTGGCAGATAGTGCAAGTGTTTGTAAATAGTAAAGAAATAAATGCTAAAAAACTATTTACAGAGATTTATACAGGAAGCAATCTCTCTCTCTCTCTCTCTCTCTCTCACACACACACACACACACACACACACACACAGACAGACAAGAAACTAAAGATATCTTTGATAAGAAACTTATATTAAACCGTTTGATGAAAGAATTGAACATGAGGAATAATAAAGAAAATAAACAAAATTAAGCTTAAGGATCTGGTCCTCCCGGATACACTACAAAACTAAGAAAATATAGCCTCATGATTTTAGTAATACTTTGTTATTCAAATCTTTAAAAATTTAATTTTTTCTCAAATTTTTTATTAGCTCCATGAATATTTATTAAGAAGCTGTGATACTCAAGGTCACTTTTAGTCTCCAGACATACAGACACAGACATGTGTACCTGTACATGTGTATGCATGCACACAAATAGATCACACATGTACACACACACACAAAGTTAATCACTCCATAGCCCCAAATATACTTGCTTTAGTCACTAATTTTTATAGCCTGCCAATCAAAAACATGCAACGTAGAGACTGGAAAGATGGCCCAGCACTTAAATGCATGTATTGCTCTTACAGAGAGCCCGAGTTCAGCTCCTAGAAGTCATGTCAGAACACTTATAACTAGCTCTAACTCCGCCTCTAGAGGGATCTGGAACAGACGATTCACGGTGAAGGTGTAAAAAAGACAATGCATAACACAATTGTCTGTACATTTGTAGCCAAGAAGCACATTGGGGCTTCCTTCTCACATGACATCACATCAGGAAGCATCTTTATTCATTACTTGACTCCCTCCATTTTAAAGACATAAAAAGCTTCTTTTTATACTAATAGTACCTTTTTACAATAAAAAAATAAACATTTTGTGCTAGTTGATAGGTGTTTCCTCTACTACATTTGTTCGAAAGGCAGTCTGGGAGTCACATGCACACACACATACACACACACAAACACACAGAGACACACACAAGTAAAAGTAGTAAAGTAAATATTTTTAAAATGTACATTTTGTTAACCTTTTTCCATCTAATCGGTGTTTAAAAGAGGAATTACAAAATTATTATCATTATGATGCCATCCGACTAAAAAAATTAATTATTAAAAATAAAATATACAGTGGGAAAAATGTTAAAAATAAGTTAGCAATCCATTTTCAAGACCAGTGCAAGTGTGGTGGGAAAGCACTTGTTTTAAGTATATAGCAAAGAAGATTGCTACCTTGTTAGACTCAAATGGTCACATCTCAGGAACATACCAGCTAATTCTTGCTGGGACGATTGTGTTTAAAGGCCAAATGTGTTTGTGAAAAACATGTGCTTTTAGAACTTTTTTTTTCAGAGAAAATACAAAGCTTTAAAGACTAGCTGAAGTGCTTTAAGGTCACACTGTGATGTCCAGTGCATGAAACTGAAATTCAAATTGAAATCTAAAAATGAAGTCACTGCCCCTCACAGCAACAGAATCAAAGGGCATCATTCAGCAGGGACACACATGATAGCTCCTCCAAAGGCAGACTGGGAATAAACAGAAAGGCTAAGAAACTAGAAATCCAATCCACAAAGTGGGTCAAAATACCTCCTGAGACAATGAAGAAAACCTACAAGTTGTACTGAGAGCTTTAAAAATATGTGTTATGTCTGTGGTGTGGAAAAGTTATTTTTAAATAAAGTTATTTGTATACTTCCTTTGTGGGGATGTTAGGTATATAATAGACTTAAACCTAAACAACTAAATATGCTAAATATGCTAAAATTTAATGACCAACTAAACATGGTCATTTACTCTAGCTCTCAAAAGCCTTCTACTTTCATATAGTTATGAGAACTGGGATTTTCTTTAATGTGGGACTATGCCTTACTATGCTATGATCTGGGCCACACATGCATTCTTTTAGAGCATGGAATACAAAAGAGAGTCCTAAGTCTTCATGTGATATAGTCACACTAAGTCCAGAGGGGCAGAGTGAGAAACCAGAAGGATGCCATATCCAGATGTGAAAAGTCAGGACATGTAGCTTGGGAAACAGAAGTCAGAGTGAGAAAGGACAGTCAGAAAGCAGCTGTGTCAGGCTCTGGCAGATACAGAGGTGGATGCTCATAGCCAACCATCAGACTGAGCATGGGGACCCCAATGGAGGAATTAGAGAAAGGACTGAAGGAGCTGATGGAGTTTGCAACCCCATAGGAGGAACAACGATATCAACCAACCAGATCCCCTTAACTCCCAGGGACTAAACCACCAACCAAAGTGTACACATGGAGGGACCCATGGCTCCAGCCTCATATGTACCAGAGAACAGCCTTGTCTGGCATCAATAGAAGAAGCCCTTGGTCCTGAGAAGGCTCGATATCCCAGGGTAGGGGAATTCTAGGGCAGAGAGGCAGGAGTGGGTGGGTGGGTGGGTGAGGGAACACCCTCATAGAAGCAGGGGAGGGAAGATGGGAGGGGAAACTAGGAAAGGGGATAACATTTGAAATGTAAATACATAAAATATCCAATAAAAAATGAAAAAGAAAGAAAAAAGCAGCTGCATAAAGAAAGAACAATCAGGAGGGTAGTAGAACATGTCATGAGAAGACCCGGAAGTAAGAGGTTGGAAGAACTGACAGAATAAAAAATGGTCACATTCCCAGAGCACTGAGGAAAGGTCTTCTAGTAGAAGAGAAATCTTGTGTGGATGCAGGTATTTTTTGAAACTGTAACGTGAGTCTCTCGTGTTTGTATTGATTAGAATGTAATGAACATTGCTTTAGCACTGGAACCTTTTAGATTAAATTTAACATAAAAACAGATAGGCAAGTCAACCTGAAAAGTTTTGATCTAGGGGGAAAAAGAGCCAATAAAGTATGACATACAAAAAAGAAGAAAACATGCAAGAGGATGAGTTAATTGAAGACAAAGTTAAACAAAGAAGAAGAAAATCACCAGCTCAAGTACCATCAGGAAAGTGGAGGTGGAGAAAAGAAGTCTACATATATATTCATGAAATATAAATTGTGTAGTGTTCACATCGGCAACACACATACCAAAACTGGAACAATGGACAGGAGATTAACAAAGCCCTTCCATAAGGATGGCATGCAAATTGGTGAATGGTTCAAAGATTGTGTGTATTGAGCAACAGAGGAAGGCAGGAAATTTGAAAGAGTCCCAGTGGGAAGCACGGTAAGGGAGGGTGGATATTAGATTACAGGTAAAATGGAAGTAGAGGTGGGACGGGACGGTGAGCACTTGGGATGGAGAAGCTTAAGCAGGGATGGACTTAGAAGTATGGGGAAGCACAGCCAGTGAAGGGAAGGTGTATAAAAAAAAACATATGGAAGCCAACTCTCTAACAATGCAAATCAAAAATAATTGGGGAGGTGGATATTAGAATACATCTGAAATGAAAGAATACTGGGGGCTCTAGGTTTAAGTAGGGGGTGAGAGCTCTAGGATGAGAGCTGGGAAATAGGGTACAGGAGGGTTACTGAGTGAGTTAAACCAAACTAAGAACATATGAAAAAGCCAAAAGTAGGTTCATTATTTACTAAACAAACTTTGAAAGACAACCTTTTTTTAAAAAGCTTGAACGCAATTAACCTGAATGGGTGGACCATCTCACTTGTAGACTACATGGGTTATTAAATGAAAATTGCAATTTATGGGATGCTGTCCTGAAAGTGATTGCTCAGAGAGCCTCCACTGGGGTCCAAAACAACACAAGCAGTTGCCATTGTCCTTGATTACCCCTCCATAACTAAATCATAAGACCCCATTGTTGAAGACAGCAAACATGCTGCCTGCAGAATGGAGAAACCAATCTCAGACGCTTCCTACTGGCCAGATTTTATAGAGCTGCATGGAGAGTGCCATGCAGTCTACTATGGTAGAAAAAACACCAGTGGTCTTATGCAGAATGGGATTCTGCAATGATGATACACTGCACTTTCAGGCAAGAGAAGCCTGGTAGTATAATACTGACATGGCTGTTAGAAGATAGCTAGCTGCTTACAGATGGAATCTGAGACCTGCCCTACAGGAAGGATTTCATGGATGGTACTAGACTCCAGATAAAGGGCCAGGGGATAGGACCTACTATTTTTATTCTGCTCAATAGACTTGTTGTCAAATTATCTTCTAAATATTTATGTGTATGTCCATGGACCTAGACTTGGGGTCTCAATCTTGGCCAGAGAAGCCCCAACCCCTGCAGTGCGCAGCATTCAGTGGAGATGCTTACCTGGCCAAAGTGCTGAGAACAAGAAATTGAGTGTAACCTTAAAAGGGACATCAATGTCAACTATATCTTTTATGGGTCAGGACACATCAGAATACATGTATTTCAATGCTTAGAACTTAGTTGATGAGCTGTTTGGAAGGATTCAGTGATGTGACCTTTTTGGAGTAGGTGAGTCTTCAGAGAAAATACGTCACTGGGAATGAGTTTCAAGTTTCAAAAGTCCACACCAGGCTGAGTCTTTTTATCTGAAGATCAGATGTAAAGCTCTCAGCCACCACTGCAACACCATGACTTCCAGCTGCTCCCAGGCGGGAACCCTCCAAAACTGTAAGCAAACTCCCAACTAAATGTCTTTCTTTATCAGCGTTGTCTTGGTCATGGTATCTCTTCACAGCAACAGAACACTAAGGCAACAGTATACATGATCTTCTGACCTATCCCCTTCTACCTATTGTCAGTTTATACTTACTGGGGCAGGGCAAATCACTCTTCTTTGGCAGGTTTATCATGCTCCACTGGAAGGCTCCTTACCAATACACATATGTTAGCACTAAGTGGACTCAGTAAGTTATGTATATACAAAATTAAAAGGAGGTCCTGTTGAGAAGAAATGGGGGCGCTAGAAGGGAGAAATAGGAATAAATATGATAGTACAGTGTACATTTATATGGCATCCTCAAGAATAAAGAAAATTTTAAAGTTAAAAAAAATTGTTAAATAATTTGGGACAGGAAGGCTTTCACAATTATAATATGATTTTGATTACTTATGGATATAAAAAAAACAACATGGATAAACAAAGGTGCTACAAAAAAAAAAGGCCCGCAAACAATAAAGGTATCAGAAGATTCTGACAGAGCAGAAGTGACAGAAAGAATGTGTAACCCTGTTCGTCACCCCAGTGCTAGTAATGGTTTAATCAACACCTACAAATACAGATCTGTATTTATAAGACAAAACAAGTTATCAGCTTATTTTATAAGCTCTTACAGAGAGCAAATGCCTATTATTCATAAACCAATTTGACAGTTTTAGTATCTCTGACAGAAAGCTAATATTCCAGCTTTGTAGATAAGTTGCCACAACGTAGAAGAGTTAGAAAATTAGTTTCAGGTTTGCCTTTTGTTTCAGCCATCTAACCTTCAGTATGGTAGCCCTGAACCATATTTAAGAGTACTAGAAAAGAATGGATAGCTGACAGCAGGGACCATGATGGTGGGAAAAGTTGCCCTAAATACTTAAAACAGACTAAGTAGGAAAAGAGTATGGAGTCTGGGAAATCTGTTGGAGACATTCTTGACTGATTGGTTCAATTTAGCATTCTTTGCTAAGACCAGCAAAGACTTGGATTTAATTCTTACTCAATCCAATCACCTCCACAGTTCACAGATTCTAACTCTGGTGAGCTGCTGCAGACATACACTGATATTCACAAGGGAAGCTGGCTGAAAGAATGAATGTTAATGAGGGACTTCCTCCTCTCAGTTCACAGCTGAGGTGGCAAAAAGCTTCTTTCTGCATGGAGAGGCATCTGTGTCACTCATGAATGCCAATTGTCTTAGTATTTCTATTGCCATGATAAAACACTAAAAACAACTAGGGAAAGGAAGAGTGTATTTGACCTTAGAGTCAAATTTGAGCTTGTAGCCCATCATCCATGGATTTCGGAAAAGGAGCTCAGGACAAGAAATTGGAGGCAGCAACTGATACAGAGGCCATGGAAGGATATTGCTCTTGCTTGTTCCTCATGCCTTGCATATCCTACCTTCTTCTAGCACCCAGGGCCACCAGCCTAGGAGCTATACTGCCCGTAAAGATCTAAGACCTCACATATCAATCGTAAAGCAAGAAAATGTATCACAGGCTTGAGTACCTGTCAATTTGATGGGCCATTTTCTCAGTAGAGATTCTCTTTTCCAAAATGACTCTAGCTAGTATCAAACTGAAAAGCAATTAGCCAACATACCAGTCTACCTCAGTCCCTCATTTTAAACTTTATGATATTTTATAATAACCTTGAAGCATTCATAAAGTGGGACTACCTCAAGAATAGCTAGAAATCCTCCTTCAACTAGTATCTAGTAAAGTGTTTTTAATTTCCCTATGGTGCTAGAGTTGAGCATCACAGAACCTGACCCATAAAGATAACTCACTGTTGTTTCCAGCTGTTGCTTTTGGAATAGGTATGATGTCCAACCTGACCCAAGTAAATAGCCATTTGGAACAATTCTTGGAACTTTCTCTTGTCTCTTATCAGTAGGTGCTTAAGAAAGAGGCACACTTTCTTCTTTCAGACATTTTATTAATTAGAATGGTCCCATTGAACTGTAGATATCTTGCAATTCTGAGGGGGAATAACCCCTTCTGTTTAAGTGAATGCCACAGACAATAATGTACAAAGGCTATATAGAGAACAGGTCTCAGTGACCTCCACTCCTAGTTACTGAAAAGCAACAGCTCATCTCTTGTTTAACCCTAATTTAAGTTGTACTTAAATGTTGTTATCACCCCGAGACATCCTTATATATGACAATAGTTACCGTTCATAGTTGAGTAGCCCAATAATTGGTAGACCATGGAGAAGTGTGTTTTTCCATGTCATTGTTCAAGATTAACTTTGTCATGGTTACTAGCAATTTCCAGATCATTTCAGTTTAGGAATGTATCTAAATTTATCCTGTTAGAAACACCCTTATGATTCAGGACCATGGTGTCAAGCTTATTTGACTATGTCCGTCTATTCCAACCTCACTCCAAAGCTATAATATCTACTCAGTTCCAAAATCTCCTACAAAACATTCTTGCTGCCCTTTCATTCATTTATTTGTTTAGAAAATCAGTCAACAAACGCAAACATTCCTATGTTCCTGCTGGGATACACAGACTTCAAAACATTTGATATGCTCTTAACGAGGCGAAAGTTGAGTAAAGAAACTGTATTAACAGATAATTACAATAGCATGTATTTAGTTAATCAAGGAAACTAGCTAATAAGATATTTTTCAGGAGTCAGGGAAGGTTGGCAAGCAACAAAACATTTCTTATTAATTTGTAATTTTATTATGTCTCCAAATACCTGCACATTAGGGAAAAAAAAACAACAATAATAGCATCCAGGAAAATAGAAAAGCAAAGTTGAGCTGCCAACATGAAAAGAATGAAAATGAGACACTCGGTAATCTAATCTCAAAACATACACAAAGGTATTAAAGTTTGATGTACATAATTTTCACTATCAAGGCATGAGTCAAAGTAATTTCTTATATCACTGCTTTATTTGAAGCAGAGGGCACTAAGGAAATTGCCTATTCAGAAAGCCATAAATAAGAGTAAAATGTCCTTATATCCTAGGTATCATTTTTTTTACATTTCTTAGACACCTTGATTTTGCATAACATGACTTCATAAGTAACTGTCAAAAAGACAAATGATTCGATTATGCCCAAGATTTCTAAGACTGACTAAACAAACCACTTCATTGACTAGTTCATTTTCTAAACTCTGTTGTTTGCTTCCACTTTTCTTCTTACTTGATAGAAAAAGCATCAGCCTGGGATAGGAGAGACCATGCTTTATTTTTAGACATAGGATTTTTTTTGTGACACAAAATTTCAGATTCTAATATATGAATAAATATCTTGTCAGTTCATAAACATATACGATCAGACATTTGATCCCTAGCAATGAGGTAGACAGTGTATGTTATAATAGCAACTAACCAAGAACCCTCCCCAATATTTAAGTTTTACATAATTAGGAAAATAGTACATTGAATATGTATGTGTTTGATTATTTTACCCTTGAGAAACACACTAATGAAAGTCACTTTAAATTGATTGGTGGCCATTTCAAAAAGCAATCAGAGCATATTTGCAAAATACATTTT